TTGTTAAAATAGAATTATCTGTTGTCTTGGATTACTCTTTGAAGCAAAGATCAAACGTTGAACTTCTACTTCATCGCTTTAACGTGTACATAGTTTCAGAGTTGATAATCACGAAGTGAAACTAAAAGTTTAAAACCTATACAATTGTTTTAATTCATGAAGGATCTCTTATGGTATTAATGAAGAGAAATTGAACCTGTGTCATCCGGACGTTAAATAAGAATCCAAGATGATGAACATGTGCCTCACCCGAAGTTAATGTCTTAAGTAAAGTAAGATCCAGTACAATTTGTTTGAAGATACAATCTCTTCGGTTATATAAAATTCCATGAGTTGTGAAGAGTCGTTTTAATAAAAAAATAATGTAAGATATATCTTACCTGGTCGTATGAAGGTCTACTTATTATTCTTCACGACTGTCATTGTTTAGTCAAAAGAGGAGAATTAAACGATGGTTGGACGACGATACGGAAAATGAAACTCGAGCGACACTGTATGTTACAATTACAATATTTTATATATCTTTGATGACGGTTTGGTGGTAACAACAGGTAAATACTACATATTGTACATTGAGTAGGCGATAGTCATACCTTATTGTGTTTAATTAGGGTATCGGTTACGCCGATGCCGATGGCGACTTCCACGACGACGACAGGCAATACCAACGACGGGGCAAGGGCGATGAAAACAGCGGTAACAGCAACAGCAACAACAACAATCTCAATAACAATATAACAGTAACAGCAACGATGACGTATGAGATCATGATAAATAGAATATAAGGGACAATATAATCATCGCAATACAATAATACAGTATGAATAAGTACAACGAATGATTGTCACATATCATCGTTTATCGTTAATTTGTGCCTGCTCTGGTAATGATAATGTACAGAGCGATCCACGAAAAGTGCTACATGCTGTTTTTTTTTACAGGAACTATTACGTACAGAAACAATATCATGTTTAGTTCCTTCGGGCCTTTCAGCTCGTTATCGTTTATAAGGACACTCTCTGCAACATTCATCGAGGAAATATTACAGAATTTGCACATGCTACTTTCATATGGGGACAATACATTAATCAACTCACGAATATATATAAATAACCAAAAACTAATTTTCTTCCTATGAATAAAATAAAATTCATGTAATAGAGGATTAACACGTTAGGCGCCTATTTTGTTTGACGTTCCATTTACGCTGCGCTCTGCTGTCAAGTGAAGAGAGTCAAGAGAGAGAATAATGCCTGTAAGAAGTTAGATCTTTACTTTTACTGAACACTTCCGTTGTGAATATTTTCTTTCTGTATCAAGAGATAATAGAGAGTTGATTAAAACCCTCATGGAATTCAAGAAAGAAGACATCGTCACGGTTTACAAGACCTCGACATAAATTAGAAACAAAGGCAGATAATGCGCATGCAATAGGGAAATACTGTGCCAAAAATGTTGTAATAGTACTTTATAATCTTTTGGTGCAAAAGTAACAAAAAATTATAACTTATTGCAAGAACTGGCGCGACGGTATAACGTAAACGTAAAGTCAACTAGCATAAACGGAAAGTCTTACGGATCGACGCACAGTGATTCAAAACTTCAAAAAGTCGGCCAAAAGTCAAGAAATGCAAATTGTAATTTAGAATTGTTTACATTGCAATCTCGTACAGAAAGTACTGCTCTATTGAATGGTAATTGTTTCTAGTAATTTTTTACTCAACGGTGATTTCGAATATTCTTTTTACGCAGAGTATTTCTGGAAGTTGGTAGAATATGAGTATGTAGGAGTTTTCATTAATTTTCAACCAATGCGAATTTAAAATAGGAATGTAGACGGACCGATAGAATCGTTTATTTTGAAATTATTGCTTCCGTAAATCATAAAAAAAAGTTGTGATCGCTGGAGATTACAAGAAGTTTGCACATTGCATACACCTGCCATTTAGAATTTTTTATTCTTGACGTCACATTCCAACCAGCGACATCGAAAACTTTTTTAATACCAATCTATATTTAAATACAACCATCCATTGGAAAATAAGTAGACCATATTGGATCCGCCATTTTTAATTTTGCAATTCTGGTAATTTGCGACCCAAACAACTCATAGATACCAAGTTTTATATAGATCCGAAAATTCTTTTGACTTTCGTCCAGCTTTTTGAGGCGTTTAACGACTATGCGGCGTGGCGTTTGTTGTGTTAAGCGACATAAGGATACTATCGTCGGGTTCGTTAAAGGTCCATAGGAGTGTCCTTTCAATTTTATTATGTTAATTTGAAATGAAAGAAAATGGCGTATATTTAAGACATTAACTGTTTTAATTAACTTAGTGGAATGTAAGGGCGTTAACAGTTCGTACCACTTCACGACGGACCATCCTGCGTGTCAGTGACAGATATACATACATAGGCGGTTCGCGAGAGGATCGTCGATCGTTGCTATCGTGGTCGTGGACGTCGTCGCCATTACCGTCCTCGTCGTATTTTTTTTTTTCTTTCCTTGTCGCCGTCGCCTCGTCAATCGTTTATCTATTATAATTCCGCATTTATCACACTTAAACGTAGATATACAGCGACGACATCGCGTGTCCTTGAGGAATGTGTGTGAATGCAGAGTTAGCATTGCGACGCGATTATAGTCTATTACAATATACGTATATGTATATATTTATATATATAATATTAATCATCCTCCCTGATCGGTGGGAACTTATCAAAAATAAAAAATGGGGAAAAGAGAGACTGGCAGTAGTTTCGACTTTTAAGGGCGTCGCCCTTCGCGGCTCGAGGACGTGCGATGAACTAAACTCCTCGAATGTTGTGTGTCGCGTAGAAAATTCGGCGCCGTGTGTTTGCGTCGTTTTTCTCGGACAGAGATGAGTAAAATTCTTATCCGCATGATAATTACAAATAATAAATAAAAGATGTTAGATATGTTACTCGTCCATTCGTTAAATCTCGGCCTTTAACTCTGCTTTGATGCAGTGCGATGTTCTTTCGTTCTCGTTCGTAATATATTCGTCAATGTCGTTAAATAAAATAGAAAAATAAATAAAAGTTAAGTTACACGTTTGGTTAAAAAAACGAAGGCTTGTTCAAAAGTTCAATAGACTAAACATGACGAATAAATCGCTGCACGATGTTTTTATTTATTACCTGTTACACGAATAAAATATTCACTCGTCCCTGTTTCGGATACCGAGTAGAGAAACGATTACGCAAACGTCCACAGCGAAACCATCGGCGAAAAATGATCCAGCGAACAGCCAAACTACGTACAAGCGAGCCGAGAAACGTTTGCACGAAGCGTTTTACTGTATGATGTTCAACACTCTTAGCCGATTGCGCGTTATTTGAATGACGAAACGAAGGAAAATTCGCGTACATGTATATATACACAGTTGGCCGCAGCCAGAGCTGGAGGAAATAGTATTCTAAGTAAAAAATAGTAAATGTAAGGATCGTTTTGTACGTCGATAGTATGACGGCGATATCGAGGCGGTTTCGTTTTTTTATCCTTGACATCGCAGCAAGCGAACATTAAAACGGCGAGAATTGTGCGCATCATACTCTTTGAACGTTGCCTTTTGATCTTGTGCGATAGGATCCCCGTTCTCCATAATTCCTCTGGATAATTTTAGTCTCGTCACATTTCGCAACAATCAGAATAAAACCAAAAATACATTTCATCTATCCATCGAACAGTTCGTTTATAGTGTAAGTAGTATAGTATATATATATGTTAGGTAGTTCACATAATTATTGATTAATCAATAATCAGATATAATTTGCTTAGAAAGATTAGAAATTCCTGATTCACAATTGCGGATTACAAATGTAGTTTTTACCGATTACCGATTAACCTAACAGTCGTCGGTGATTGTTACAAAAGTGATCACTGTTCAACTCTGGTTAGAAATACAGAGCACGATCTTTCATCGAGAGTCGGACACGTTTTGAAACACGTTTGATCTAAAATTTAGATCTGTCTAATCTATTATTCGTTCGACAGAAGTTACAATCAGAATTATAAAATTAAATTATATTTCCTATTAAAACAATAAATCGTCGTTCAATGGTGTGCGTGTTGCGAATACGAACGGTGTATGGTGGTTTTATTCGTTATCTACCATTTAGCGTGAATAATTCAGGATGTCATATTTCACGTGCATAGAGTATAGTGCGCGCAATTTGTTTCTGCGCGAAACGGCTACGCAAGCTCTTCACTATTTTCTATCGCAAATACTATTTTTGACCGGCTCTGCACGGGATATCGCATCTTCCAGGTGTATCGAGTATCGCAAATAGCTGGATTCGTTTCGTAAAAGAAACGAAGCCGATACACTTGTCCTGGCTACTGCCAGGCGACGTGGTACCCGCACGCGCGATCAGGGCCGTGACAAGGCTGGAGTAGAAGGGACACGTGTATTTAAAGCTATCTTAACGAGGGCTTAGACTCATCTTTTGAGAGTAACAAAAAATAAATGAAGTATTTCGACAATTACTTCGAAAATTGACTTTCTACAGTTTCTTAATATTCTTTTTTCTGATCTTCCAATGATATAAGACACTATGTCCTAGCAAAAATAATAATGGAGATGAGTATGTTTACAGCAACACCGTATCTGATATTCTTTAGAGGTATTGGTTGTAAATAAACGATGAGCGTTGCTATCGAGGAGCGTCAATTTGCAAAACTGACAGAAAGATATTGGTTTGTTGCGCACTCGGGTTTACGTAAACTTTTCGAAAGTACTGTTCAGCGAAGAAACGAGCTGTTCAAACGACGCGTGTGTGCAAGGTAGACGCGCAGGAGCTGTACGCATTTATTTCGAGCATGTATCACATTTAGGAACCTCGTTTGTCCGTCGCTACCGGTACTTCCGAAGTGTTTTCACTTCTTAAAATATCTTTTGATGAAAATTACCGGTTCAGATAAACGAATCGCGAAGGTAGAACAAATAAAAGTAATAAAGTTTCCATCAATTTTGCAAGAAGTCACCAAATCGTTAGTACCGAGCTCCGCTCTGGAACAGAATAATACACTTTCACCCTATTTACCGCCAGATTAGATTAAGGTATGTGTTACAATTCTTCGCATTCGCGGAAGAATATGATTTGATCACAACGAATAAATTGCATGTAACCTTAACAATCTAGCAACGATATCGCCAAGAAAATTATTGGACTAATTCCGAGTACAATTGGTGAACCATATGAAACTATAATCTTCGATTAGTTATAATCACAAATTTCATCTCCGTGATATAGAATTACATGTCTGCCAGATACAGATATACGATAAATACCGTAAAGAGAATGGTCGAAGGGAGCTCGCATTTCATCGTTGCTTCGAACGAAAAAAGTACCTAGGCACGGCCCTGCATGGGATCGATTACGATTAAATTACCGCGTGTCTCCACCCGCGTGCTCGATATGATTGATTCGTCTGACGTTCCACCATCTCTCTGACGAGGAGTCTCTCTCGGTGCTCCCCGAAGAAGAGGAAAGGGATGGCCACGGGGCAGATGAACAACGTCGATACGCTGGGGCCCCGCCTGGATGATTTCAAGGATACGTGATCGGCCTAAGGAGGTGACCGTGGGATCGTGTTCGTTTAGTATTTAATAATAATCCATTAGTTTACGCTATAAGACTAGATTCACGGGCGGGGTATCTTGCGCCGTCTCCGGCACCCTTTAACCCTTTGCAGTTGCCTCGGCGCGCGGCCGACGATAAACCTAACGAATGTACAAAACGGAACCGAGCTTCACTTACTGGAGATCCCTCCGTGTAGACGATATTTACAAAAGTACAGACACAGGGTGTTCAAAAATATGCGACGCTGCTCTACGCGAGAGTTTGCGATCTTCTTTCGAGAGGAATCATTTTTTTTAAACGAGTATACGCGTATCTTGGAATACCCTGTACATATTCGATAGTCGAAGCCTCGAGCATACCCGCGTAAGAAAGGGGAACCCGGCTTTTCGATCGATTGGAAAACGAAAATACATTTACCCGGGTCGATCGATTCTTCTTGACCCTCTATTGCATAATGTATCCTATCGGGACCTCGGGAAAAATAATCCGCGTAAAGCTCACCGAGGAAATTTTACAGGATTCGCACGTGATATTTTCTTATGAGAACATTTAATATCCCTAAAAATTCAGCTATTTATCGTTTAACTTGGATACTAATCGATTCACGCATACACGAATGGCCAAGAAGGGCGAAATAAAATCCGTGCAATAGAGGTTTAACGACGATTTAAATAAACGCAGAGCGTCGAGTCGGGAAACATTTGTGTACGGATTCGAATAAATAGGAAAGACTCGACGATGAGACCGCAAAGGGTTAACGTGCGTGGCCCGTTAGGACGCGCCCCGACGCTCTGGACTCCCTTGTTCTCGGCGCTCGTCGACATTACATATCACTATATCCCACGCTTAACGTGCTAACACACAACTTACAGATACATACATACTTAGACACGTAGCTCTTAGATGCCTATGTAAGACAGGGTGGATCCGCGAATCTATGGATCCCCTGCGCTCCTGCTGGCTTATCGCTCGTTAAGCTGCGGCGTTCACGTGACGTTGAACCGCGACTTTTGTCGCCATGACAATGAGTATTATGACATTTGTTACCGTGATCCGTTCCATCTATATTTAGGATCGACAGCGGCGACTACAAGTTTGCAACAAAAATGAATACGTTGAAGCCTCCTAAAAAAATCAGAATCTGGAAGGATAATTACTTAAAATAACTTTTTGAATCCTTCCGAAACTAACACTCTTATCAACGTCTTATCAGACGCTCTTGGATCATCTCTGCATTGAATCTGTTTTATATAAATTTAGTTTTTTCTTCGGTTTCCGTTAATCCTTCCATTCTGACGCAACTAATTTTCACTAGAACGCAAACCACAATTACACACACGAGTTTATAATACACTTCTTCATGTTTACAATGACGAATGCTATGGCACAAAAGTGAGCGACAACAGCGAAAACTGTAACGCCAATAAAATGCCACCTACGCGCGTTGTTGTCACGTGAAACGCGCACCGTAACGGCGAGGCGCGCGATTGGATTCGCAACAGGAAACTGGTGCGGAAGAACGAACGCTACCAGGTGGTGTGCGTGTATTTTGCAAATTATTATCAATCATTCATTCACACATATGCACACACATTCTCTCCGTGTCTCTTTCGGTGCGTCTACAGGTGTACGCGAACGTAAACGCGCTTCGTGATGGAATTAACGACGGCACGGTGCGTTCGCGCGAAAGAAGCACGCGCCGCGTCTCCACGGGCGGCACGTCCGCGGACAATTGCGGAATCCAATCGACGGGGGATGAATCCTAATTAAAAGCGATGCACGGAGCAGCGTCACGCGCCGCGGCTAGCTCGTCGATGATCAGGCGTTTCCGGATTCGCCGTTAGCGAATCGTTCAATTCTCTGCGAGTACGTGACTCCCTTCCTTCTCACCGTTAATTATACACCGTAAAATACAGTAACTCGCAACAGATGCTCTCTATAATTTTTTACTCATTCGGGTACGGTGCCATAAGGCATACTTAAAAGCGTGGCGGAAGATTAAATGGCAAAATTTTAACAAAATGTTTTTCAATGAAAGATACAGTAAAGTTGGACAAAATAATATACTTATTCGTTTTTTTTTCAGGTAGGTTGATATGTGGATTGCTTTCAGGAAACAGTAACGGTGGTCGTTTTGTTCTTTGGACCAAGAATTGGCAAACGTTTTTCAATGAGATCCGAGTAACAACAGTTTTTACCTTTGTGAGACGGAAGATAGTATCAATGAAATTACGATCTGAATATCTCCGTATTAATAATAAACAGAATAGAATTGTATATTTAAATAATTTTGTTAGGAAGTTAGGGAAGCGTAAGTTAGGATGTTGCAAATGAAATGACAGAATTTAAAATTATTGCGCCGCAAAGTTGCTATCCCGAGTAAGTTGTATCGTTAAAGCTCTAAATTCAATAGCCCAAAACGGTGAAGTACAAGTTTTTCTTTCTTATATAATTTGTCGATGTATGTATGATAAATTTTGAATAGCCAGCTTTCAAGGTGAGAAACGTTGCGAGTAACCCCATTTGACGGCACTTCATCTTGTGTTTCGTCTTACAATCGGCGACGCTGCAGAAATGGCGCGTTTGATCGTCAGCAGGCGAACAATTTAATTGGATCGGTTCGGGAAAAATCGTATAAAACGAGGATTCAGTTTGTCGTGTTCGATGAAGATCAAAATGTTGGGAAACGCTAAAGTTGGAAGCTGGAGTTCTCGGCAATCGAATGATCAGGTAAACAACTATTGACTATAGTTTTGACAGACATTAATTTATCGCTCTATGTCACCTTTCCACTTCTCTTGCGAATTCCGTATTTTCTGTCTCTTAAAAATAATGCGGAACAGAGTCGTTTGCTGAACATCGTCCTTTCATCTTGCATCAAAAAGTATGATACTCTTCTGCTTGCATTCTTCTTTTGCTTCATTATATGGCGAGTAAAGTTTATAAATACGAAAGAAAAATACTTGGACAGTTTGGGAAAGTATTGTACGTAAAACATGTACAATTATATTCGTCGCGAGCAATTTACTGCTGATATGTTGATCAGATATTTTCGTACTCGATGAAACCGATCGAACCGAGAACTCCAGGGAAAACGAGCTAGTGGCCCACGTCCGCCATTCCGTTCTGGCTCCGTCGAGCGACTGATGCGTTTGGATTGTGCTCTACGGCTTGCCGTACGAATTTGTTAACCGTTAAATCCGCTCGAGTCCATAATTAACATGCGCTAGGTCGCGTATATATATATATATAATATATATATGTACACAGTCTTACAAAGCAAAATTTACAAACATTACGACGTACGGTCGATCGAATAAATATTATTATATGTTTTCTCCGGCGCAGATCGGAAAGAAAATGGCCAGCCGACCAATTTTTCCCTTCGTCGCGATATCGATCTCAATCGTGTCAGTTAGTTACGCTAGGAAGACAGCAGCTATAGTGCAAAAATGAAGATATATCTTCTCGTTTCGGGCACGACGACGATAATGATCGATAGACAGATAGACCCTGAAAGCTTCGAGAGGCAGAGATTGGGCAAAATTCTTATCTAGATAAAAATTTCAAAAGTTACGAATAAAAGGGATCGTTGATATATTTGTCTTATGAAAAAGGGTCGTAACCGAAGAAAGTGTAAGAATTCCGGGTACGAAAGTTACAAAGAAAATGTTACACGTTGATCGTAGTTGTATATTTTTCGGATAATATTTTGCCCATATCCGATGACAGGTGACTAAAGTTGGAAAAAGAAAAAGAAAAAGTGGTAACCAACGTTTCGAGTTGGCTGTCGAAGAAGTTGAGATCGATTTCAAGACAAGAGGGTCGGTTTCGTTCGGCCACTTTTTGGTGAATGCCCTGTCGCGAGGCGCGGGAATGAGAGGCTCGATCGATCGCCGCGCGACGAGGGCTTGAGCGAGAGATCGATAGTGCACGGAGGCGGAAGCGAGGATCGGCGGTCGATCGATCGTCGGAGAAAAGAGGAGAAAGTTGGTCGAATCGAACGCGCGATCTACCTAACTCCACCGGCTACCGACGATCACATCTTTAAAGCCTCTGCGAGTATGTACGTGTGTGTATACGATTTGAAATAGTTGGTGGAAGCGATACGGTGAACTCCACGAGACGCGGTATCATAGGATTCGAAATTCTTATCTTGGCTATCGAACATACTAACCGGTACTGGTTAACGCAAATAAATAAACAAAAGGTACACTTGTTTGTTCGATTGTCCTCTTCGTTTCTACATTTTCTTCACTTGAAAGGAGGATCTTGATACTTGAAAGGAGGATCATTCGATGGTCCACGATGATACCATACACGTAGGGCGATATGTGTTCATATTATCGAAGAATCAAAACAATGTTCCCTTAACCCAGTTACGCATGACATTCTTATAGAAGGTTTTGGAATTTGTTTCGAATAAAATTATATATCATTGTTTCGATATTACAATAGCTCTATAAGGTCAGCATCCTCCGAAAACAGTCATAGGCAACTCGTTCTTTCGAATGCCTATGGCGTCCATTAACCGGTTAATGTTGGTAAACGACCATGTCCGTAAAATGATCATTCCTTTCCCTTGTCGACGCAATAAAACAAACTGCATTCGTATACAGATATCGATGTATTATTATAATACACAATGTCAATATTACCTTCACTAAAAACTACTTGAAATAAATTATTCAAAAGCGTAGGAAATATTAATGTCGCGAGTGAATCGTTGTAAACTACAGATCGTGGAAAAAAGACAAGGGAAAGGCTTAACTTTGAAGGTAGAGAGAGCTCTTTCCCTTTACTTAAGAGCAAAAGCCTCGCTCCTTACTTTACATTCATTCACCCCCTCGAAGAACTAGCGTACAAATGCGTACCGAATCCGACCCTGGCCTTCCAACATCCTCGCACTCGAGTATATACTACCTGCCTCGTTGCTTTCGCGAGTCCACCGTGTCTCTCTTCCACCCACTATACCTGTATATGAGAACGCGTGCGTGATTCTCGGTTACGTGTCCGTGTATGCGTGTGTGTGTGTGTGTCGATGCGTTTGCGCGATACTCTTGATGTGCTGCTAGGAAGCTGACTAGATTATAACCTAGAATACGAAACGTCCGGAGCGTCGTTCGAACCGGCGAGCCCGGGCCCCCGTGTGTTCTCGATGCGAACATGCTAATATGGCGATTAGAGAGGAAGCGGAGAACGAGGCCCAGGGTTCCGTTCCTTCGTCGGTCGAGACGAGGACTCCGGTGTTTCGTATCGGCGTTGACTACTCTCGGCCTTCTCGAAGACCGAACGCCTTCACCTAGGCGTTCGACTCCTTCAAGTTGTCGAAGTACTGCATGATCTGGTTGTAGTCCATGCCTAGATTCAAATCGTCCAACGCCACGGATTCTTCCTGTTCTTGGGACGAGGACGCCGACGAGGAGGATGACGAGGACGAGGAAGAGGACGAAGAGGAGGCAGAGGATGAGGACGGCGACGAGTTAGGCGGCGACGAGGACGATGAGGCCACGGTCGGGCTGGACACGTTCATCGATGAGGCGACTGCTGCGGTCGAAAACGACGAGAACATCGGATTACCGACGATCGTCGCCCTCTTCACCTCTCTGGCTCTCGCATCCTTCGAGTGCCTGTTGTCATCGTGAGTCACTAGCTCCACGAACTCCTCCTCCTCCGCGGCGTTCTCTTTCGGACTACCTACTCTAGCTTTACCGTGCGATGGCTTGATATGGTGGATCTGCTTGCTGTGCCGCTGGTTGTTCCCGTGGTGGCTGCCGCCTGCGCTGCCGCTCGACGCCCTGTGCCGGTGGTGCTTCCTCGGGGTGTCCGGCACCCGTACGATCACCCCAGTGTTCCTGTGCGGCGGTACCGGTGGCTTGTAGTCTTCGTTGCCGTTGTTGTTGCCGGTCGCGCCGCACGGGGCGGCTGTCGTCATCGACGCGATCGCGATGTTCGCGACGGGCACCCCGTGCGGTGGTAGGGGTGGCGGAATGTCGTCGTTGCTGCGATCAGAATTAGTATTATTTGAATGACGTTAGTTAATGTTTGTTGTAGAAACGACCTCGGTGGTCGTTTCGGTATTTTCGAGCATTTTTCTTTCTGAACGTATAACGTTTACATAATTATTTCCAAGATTAAATGTATCTAATATTTTCTTAACTCTTTATTTACTGAATTTCTCAACATTTTTTTAACCTGTCGTATTTTAGGGACTATGAGAAACACCTTAATTTTTGAGCAATTTGAACAAAAAAATAACATTTTTATTATTAGATTGCCTCTATATGACCATTTTTAACACTTTCGCTGCGGATGACGCACATGTGCGCCCAACTGAAAATATATGGTTGTTTTTATTATTTCTCAGTTTTCATTTTTTTTTGTTCGCCAATTATATTATATATATAAAATAAATTACGACAAATATATGTTTTTCAAAATAATCATATTAGAACGTTTGTAAGAAATTTTTCATTAAAAAAAATATCATAGTTGCAGCTACCAGCGAACGGCTACTTATTTTCGTCCGCAGCGAAAGTGTTAAGACTGGCTGGAATGTTAAATCCAATAAGAATTAAATGGAGGCAATTTTTCGAAGAAAAAAGCTACTTATTTTCGTCCGCAGCGAAAGTGTTAAGACTGGCTGGAAATTTAAATCCAATAAGAATTAAATGGAGGCAATTTTTCGAAGAAAAAAGTGCATCTTATAGTCTGCAAAATACGATAGGCGTCCATTTTGGTCTTATATCATCTTATAGAATTGTCCCTAATAAGCTTCCAAAAGAAAGCTTGTGCTACCATCCAACAATTAAAAACGAACCTCATAGAAGTGGACTCGAAAGTCACAATAGGTTTCAAAGTAATTAATACAGTTCCATGAGAAAATTGACTTATAAGTGCCGCCAGTAAATAGAAAGTTAAAGAATAATAGCACGGAACGGTAACGTAGGACACTTTGTTGTTTAGTGTAATCTGGTTAAATACGTATGAGTGTCCACTCCCGAAACGGTGAAGTATGTATCACCGAACGAAAGTCTCGTAACGATTAACAGCAAACAAACGAATCTGGAGCTTCTACTCCGAAAACGATCAAGTATCGACTGAATGTCTCGTAACGATCGCCAGTGAACGAATGACGATTACTCCAAATCACCAATTTTCCTCTCAACACTCTCGACGTGGCGTTCTAGAAAAGGTAGTCGCGTGAGAAGTTCAAAGGTTCAGCAAGCGGCAGAAATTTCTTCCAGATGGTCCCAAAGGTAGTCTCGTTGTTTGTACTTCGTTAATTAACTTTCGGAAACTCTGAGTTTACGATATTTCGACTATAAGGGTCGAAACGAAAATGAAAGATTTCAAAGTCGTCGTTCGCAAAGGATTCGAGAAAGTTTAATCCTCGAGAGTAGTCTTTCTTCGCGTACATACCATAAACGTAACATCGAATTTCTCACGTGTTGTGTTCCTTGGGACGGAACAAACATAAGATGAAAAATCTAGCGTTCAAAATGCCGAAACTGGAGAGAAATAATGGGAAGTACATTACTCGTTTCGTGTAGTAGTCACGCTCGATGTTGCCATAGACGCTGGGGTGGTCACTGTGGTCGCCGTCACCGCGGCTGAGGGTTTCGCGCCAGTTTTAGAAGCGAAACTGTTTCTTGGAAGCTTGTCCCTCTTGCAATAAGTCGTTGTGTCGATGGGCCCTGAACTGTTGTTCCGTTGTCCCGCAGATGGGAGCTCGATGTGATTCGGATTGTCGAAGCAAGTCGCCAAATCGCTCGAGTCTCCCTCTGTTTCGTTGGCAAGAGGGTTACTGGTCACTCGTACCTTGAACGACAAACTCGTTGATTTAATGTCCTGATCCATTATAAATCACGATGATAAATTGGAAGGGTGTTTGGCGAAGAGGGTTTAGAGAAGAAGAGGAATTGACATTTTGAGGGATTTTAGAATTAAAAAGTATACAACATTAAAGTAAGACAGCATATACTCTATGTAGTCTATACTGTTGTTATATTAGGTTGTCCCAAAAGTTTCTTTCGTAATTTGCACTCAATTATTTTGTGTGGCAGTGTTTATATAAATAGACAATCTAATTTCTTAGATATCGATGTTGTAACAGTAACGGAGCAAAATGAATCGTACACAATTCAATAATGTAACGTTAGACATAAAACATTGTGTATGTATTACTCATTAATAAAACGAAAGAAACTTTTGGGACAATCTAATACTTCAAATAAAATGAACTATGCAAAATTTTTGTTGTAAGGAATCCAAAGTTCAACATTCGTTCCTCAAGAGGTCAAATATTGAGTTGGAATAAACGTTCATTTTTCAATAAGGTACCGTTTAAACGTGCATATGTATACCTAAAACAATTGATAATATACATGTTCTTAAAGATGACATTGTAATACATCTTTCTCTGCGATTTGTTTGTAAATTGGAGGATTTCAACTGTCTACGCCTATGTTTGTAATTCGGAGAGTCACCTATAATGGTATACATATATTAGTAAACAGGAGACCGAGATCTATAAGTGTACGAAGTTTCAACTAAATCTGAGACCCGAAGAGCTTGCCTTCTCCTTGTTAGTGAAGAAGTTAGTGAGGCTCTTAGGCTAAATAGTTTGGGTACCCTTAGTTTAGGAAATAATTGCTGTCTCCTATTATACTGGACATATTGTATGTGCAGGTATAGTAAATCCGAGCAAATAGATTTTCTACCGAATCAATTGAAGAAATTGAGAAATCATGTTATACAGGGTGATCCGCTCGCTACACATAATGGCGACTATACTTATAGTCACTGGTAGGGATCTTGTGAGGTCGTAAAGTCGGTCGGACATCGATCTTTACAACTTAAGTCGACCGCAATTAGTAATTTGACACATTTTTAGACAAAGGCAGAGCTAGACTTTTCGTTCAGGGCCGTCTGGTATCAGAATTAGGATATTCATATTTCAATAACTTTATTCTTCTTATGCATGTTCACACATAATTCTGTAACGGATAAATCAATTACGGAGGAGAGTTGTAGTCTAGTTTTATCAAACTGACTCAAATATTTATGTTTTAAACTAATAATATCGACGAAAAGTATTATTATTTACTGTCTAATACTTTTCTTTTAAGGAGGTTCAATTTATCAGAAGTTTCCTCATCTTTGGATGGTACGTGTGTAATATTAAGTTTAGGGAGTATCTTTTAACAAATTGCAGCATGATTGGATCAGCAATTTGTAAAATGACTTTACTTATTGAAAATACTGTGGCAGGTAGGAACTTAGTTAACCAATCATCGTCGAAAGTTTTTGGTTTTTCCAGTTTGGAAAAATCCGAGTTACTCGTAATAAAACATATTTAGTCTTGGGGTGGAACGTGGACATGTATACCTTAGAGCCGCGACATCCCTGTCGTCCGAGGGATCAGTTACCTGGGCCAATAAAGTAATAACTACTGTTTTGGTTTACGACCTCACAAGATCCTTTCCAGCAACAGTAAGTACGTCGGCTGTAGAAAGCGATGGTTTTACCTGTTGAGGTCCGCAAGCGGCTCTCTCGAGGGTAGCTCGTCCGAGCCAGACCCAATCGTGAGCGTTCGTTGTAGACTCTCTGGGTGGTCGCCTTCCCGACGCCAGCTGGTTGGCCGCCGCTCTGGCCCTCGCTGCTCCGGAGAGAACCGGTAGCGCAGCTCCCGTCATTGGCGAGTCCGATGGCTGGGGTTTGAACTTGTTGGTATAGACCACGCAGGAGACGACAAAGACGACGATGGCGAAACAGAAGGCCGCCAGAAGGACGTATATCCCGATCTCGAGTGGACTCATGTTCGCTCCACCGTGATGCCGTATCCCGACGCCGCCCATTCCTCCTGAAGACATGCCATTAGCTATAGCCGTGCGGTGATGCCGTGCCTGCACCAAAGGCTCGTGCCCGTTCTCGTCTTTCAGCGGTAGTCCTTTGCACAGAAAACAAAGAGACAGAAACAGAGAGGAGAAGAGTGAGAAACGATGAAGTGAATAGAGCGCGAGAGCTCCCGAAGCTGCTACGTATCCTCTGTGCGACCAGCTGACTGCGGAAAGCGAGACGAAGGCCTGGATCGTCATGCAAGGGAAATATTAATTGTTACACCAATCGAGGATTGGGAAACTTGACTCGTAAGGGAATATCGCAGATGTTCAATCTTACGAAACTTTCCACAAATTTTCGTTGGTTTAAATGTTTCGTTATCGTTCTAATAACAAGTCAATTCGATCTATATACCTTGGATTTTTTGTTTAAGCGAGACAATAATATAATAATCGATATAAATTCGATTCATCGAACATCGATTAAACGGAATTTGACTCGAAATTAAATTGTTTCTACGAATGTTGATAGATCATCTCTAATATAGGGGTTCTTCGTTGATGTCAAAATCCCCATAAGAAACTTCAAAGAAGTAACGAAATTACGTCAAGTACATAAAATAGTCGAGGACGAACAGGAGTATTATCAAATAAATTACAAAAAAATAGAAGATTCCCATAAATTCTTCTTTAAAGTCAAATAGCACCAGAGGCGAGAAGATAAAGCATCAATGAAGATTTGTGCAAAGTCTCACCAATATAGATGTTATTGAACACCTATATAGACAATAGTTTGCAATGTTCTCTTGTAATTTCCCAACCAATATCAATAACAAATATTTTGTTCGCTCAAGGCCATAGTTTTGACCGTGAGCAGAAATGAGTTGATTCCATTGAAATATAACGTGAAATATAAAACCATATTATTATAAAATTCTAAACGTAATTTTTATTAAATTAATAACGAATCAATCTGTTACTTGACATTTGACTACAGAGAAAAGTTCTGCCTATCTCTACCTGTGAATGTCGCCATAAACTATTTACTACGAAAATTTGCGCGAAGAGATGAGAATCGAGTAGCAAAACAGATAGCACGATAGATGAACCTCTAATGACCTCGAGCGATAAAAACTGCTTAGCGATGATCATAGCAATCTATTTTAATTCCTTTATTAATCCTCGATTTGTTAGTTTCGTTAGGTGCAACCAAACAATTACAGGACAAGCATTACAGTAACAAAAGGTGCTGGCGAAAAGCGAATGAAGGCGAAAATCAGAGAAGAAGATCACCCGTTCTTAAAATTTGTTATTGTGAAAAAAGAAAGTTTTCATGGTATTTTATTAAGAAGTTAAATTTTTTGCCGCACTCTACATATCTTACATAACCAACATCGCATAATGAATCGATATAGCCGAACCATTAAACATTAAAGGATCCTTACGTTTCAATACAAATACTTCTTCAATACAAGCCGTTGATCAACTAAGCAAACTGATAAATTTACTAGTTCATGGTAAACGATCAATATTACCAAAAGATAAGCATGCATAGGCGTTCTCAAAGACGAAGGCAGAGCAAGAGGTAAATGGGGGAATAGGTATCTATTTACCGTTGAGAATGTCGCGCATGTCGTTTGCCGTTTCGCCCCTGCTGGTTTTCCTTTCCCTGTGATGATGCGACCCGACGGTACCGCCTCCGTCGTTCTGAACGAACTCAGGACGATTTGGTAGCTCGCTGGAGGCAAAGTCCACTTCGACGTTGGCCGAGGCGCTGGCCAGGGCAGATGCAGTCGCCCTTTGAGAACCTTTACCGGACCTCCTGGCACCTAGACGACAGGCGTCGGCCAGCTGAAGATTGACTTTTAACAAATCGCCACGGCCTTCGCCAACAGCGATCACTCGGGGATGATGGGAAGCGACCATCGGAGCAAAAGCCACCACCTCCGGGTCCAAGCTCTCGACAAGCAAGTGGTAATCGGTAACAGCGATCTCCCTCAGCGGTGTTCTCGTTCCATCCGAGAATTCGACGTCTATGTCTAGAAGACCTTCCTGCGATTGGTAGAATTATTCATGTCAAAATGGATTTCAATCGTTATTCGCAACCATGTTTTATAATACGTATTACAGATCAGAGCCAAGCCATACCACCGAAATCAAACTTACATAAAAAAACAGGGGTTGGAAATAATTATTTATAATATCGGTTCCGAGTGGAACAGTTTTAAAAACCGGAGAAATGTTACAACAGTTATTTATTAACATGCTATTGACATGATACGTTGATAGGTTCTAGCTTATATCGGTTTTAAAACGGTTCGTTGTGTATCATTTCCAAAAATACAAGGGTAAGTCAAAAATTATCTACACTTTTCATTCTACAATTTATTTACATAGAGCTAGGATTTCGTTATGCACATCACATTTCTAGAAATCGAGTCAGTGATCGTTAGTCCTCTTTGGTACAAACTTCTAATGGAACGGGCATGATCTATCCGCAGTAGAAGAAATAAAAATGGCGGAATTAGGGTGAAACTGTTAAATCATTACCAGAACAGTATTACAATAAAATATGAAAAAAGTTATGTTAAAAGTGTAGATAATTTTTTACTTCCCTTCGTACATCAATTGTAAGAAATATTTAGATTTATTGGGTATTAATATTAAACCAACAGTGCATTGATTGGTAAGCCATTTATTATTAAACTTTGTTACTGCTTATACGGTTTCAATATTCCACAGTTTCATTATTATTTAAACGTATAAGTAACATATTAACTTTATCATCTGAAGTCAATTTATATCTTTGTTCTATTTGTATAACGTATATCAAACTTTATTCGGCGTTAGTTTTCTACAAAAATTAGTCTTTAATTGTAAGAAGAGAAAAGAAAAGCTAAAATTTATTTTGTCCGTGCACATATATCGATTAATCTCAGATGTTATATCATAATATATTATTTATACGTTTAAATAATAATAAAATTGCGCAAGACGATTTTGCACAATCGATGCACTGTTTTGATTTAACCCTTTGCTTCTCTCTTTGTATCTACTAGCAACTCGAGATGCTTCCTTAGCATTCTATTGCCACGAATGCTGAGCTTAGATTAAACTAATTTGAGATTTGAAAATCAGGTCACCTCATCGACAATCATTTCATTGACACTTCGAGTTCCAAAAATAATTAAAGCTAAACAAGCATTATTGCTGGTTGATTTACTGCGTCGAACCTAACGATGACCGAGAGTCACACCTTCCGAGTGGAAAGGGTTAATATTGATACCAATAAATCTAAAAATTCTATACAGTCGATATATTTTTAGAAACGTACTGAAACGATAGGCAAAGGACCGTTTTAGTATCGATGTGTTATAATAACGGTTCTGTAGAACTATACAGTCAAACCTGTTTTCCTGTGGTCTTATTTTATCCAATTTTTTTATGTGCAGTATACATATGAAAATAATACGATACTGTGCATTTGCATTTAACGAACACGAGCATATCTTATTAACATTAGCGACGACACCCTGTATATTGTATCAGTAACTATGCCATTGGTTTTATCACGACTCAATGACGAGTATGTCGCAAAGAAACACAGGGTACTGTACCTGATACTTAGCAGTCAGTCTTCTCGTAACCGACGTTTCCGCGACGTATCCGTTCTCTATAGCTGTATCGGGACTGATGGTGAGCTGCAATCCAGACACGACCCTGACGGAGAGCCTGGTGACCGCCACCCGATCGTTCCCAACCCGTACCTCCTTGGCACCGATCACCCTGCCAGTAATCGGCGACAACACTTGCACTTCCGTCCTACCTACCCCGCGACCTTGGACTATCCTCCCTTGCAACAGAGTGGCTATTCTAGGATCCGAAACTCTGAGCATACCCATCACCAGATCGGTGACACGCAGCCAGGTACGACGGTTGACGAAATAGGACACCCTCCCCGAGTCGTGATCGGTAGCAAGGAATCTCGCGTGGACCTCGACCGGGCTCTGTTGGAACCGGAGCCTGCAGTTGGTGGACGGTCCCCTTTCGATAGAATTTATGGCGTCCCATCCGTGATCGTTGCCCCGGAATCTCTCCTCCTGCTCGTCTTCCTCGAGGATCACGTCCGCGTCCTCGACGTCTATCGAACTGTCATCCACGGAATCCTCCAGTACAGCCGCGCTCCTCTTCTTCGTTTTCGTCACGGACTCGTTCATTCTTGGACTAGTCGCGTTCAGGCTACGTTTACTCTTCGCTCCCGCAGTGTGCTCTTCCGGAACTTTCCAGCCTTTGATCTGGCTCAATCGGGTGTCCCCTACTGTCACCTCCAGTGGGAATTCGGGCATCCAGACCGTGAACTTGGCCAACCCCGTGTAGGTTCCGTACTTGACGAGGACCGACGCGTTGCTGGAGCCCCGGATTTCCGTCCCGTCCACGTACACGCTGCTGCAGGAGGATGACACCTGCAACGCGGGCCAATTGCGTCAGACGAGGCTTTAGCGACAGTCGGTAGTCGAGACTTTTGGCTGTCGGCATGTGTGGTAATTGTTTCTTTTCGTCTGAGAATCGAAAACATTGACATAGTTCGTATGGGTGTTGCTCGTACCCGGAAGCCTCGTGAAGACCTTCGAATCCAAAACCTCGCACGTTACGTTTCACGGTGGATAAAATAGCAATATTAGCGCGAAAAATAGCATCTTTTTCAAATTCAAGATTAATGTAATCATTTAGAGGCATAATATAACCGTTCGGATTAAGGATTAATTCATTTGGGTGTCTAATGTTTACATTAGACTGGGTAAACGTTGACATAAACAAACACAGACGTATTGTTTGCAGTGTTCTTATCAGTTAGCAGATGTTAGTTTAATGTGAAATAAGTTGTTATAAAATGGTTACTCGCTTTAATAAACGGAAATAGAAATGGAAATGGATGTTAGTTTAAGGAGTGACATCAATTGTTTTATTTATATTGTATAGCAATGGGAAACTATTGACGGTAAGTAGTCTTTAGAAATACTTTTTTTTATGTTTGAAATATTTATGCTCGCTAATTTTATTCCCGCAAAAAATAGCGATTGTGATATTTTTTTATCTAATGAGTTTGCTTGCTATCGGATCTATGTAGATATACTTCGAATACTGTTTTTTTTTTAGATCCTCCAAAAGAAATCAGGCCCTATAACATGCGATTTTAGTCTCTAAGCATTTTTTTTTGCCAGACCGTCATGGTTACGAATCTCTAAACTCGAAGACAGAAGATGAAGTCGAAGAATAAAAAACGTGTTACATTTTTAAGTTCATCAATTTTCATTAATGAAGTGTATCCATGAAGTTTTATTTTATTTGTATTGCGTACCTAATTACTTTCAGCGATTTTTTTTTTAAATACAAATATAAAAATTCTCAAATTTTTTCTTGTTTCAATATTGGTTCACCTTTTCCAGTCATGTAACTACACAAAACAACCACTACAAACGCAAATATTAGTTAACGCTTTCGCTGCGGATGACGCACATGTGCGTCCAACTGAAAATATATGGTTGTTTTTATTATTTTTCAGTTTTCATTTGCTTTGTTCGACAATCATATATATGATATGATATTTTAATTATATTTAATATTTTAATTATGATATTTTTTTTAATGAAAAATTTTTTACAAATGTTCTAATGTGAAAAAACTTATTATATATATACTTGATATATATATATATATAATAAGTTACCATAAATATATGTTTTTCAAAATAATCACATTAGAACATTTGTAAGAAATTTTTCATTAAAAAAAAAATATATATATATATAATATATATAATATAATATATATATAATATATATAATATAATATATATATAATATATATATATATAATAAGTTACCATAAATATATGTTTTTCCAAATAACCACATTAGAACATTTGTAAGAAATTTTTCATTAAAAAAAATATCATAATTGCAGCTCCCAGCGAACAGCTACTTATTTCCATCCGCAGCGAAAGTGCTAAAAACGTCGTTCACAATTTTTTCGCGCCAATATTGCAAATTGCATTCTAGCCCACCGTGCGTTCCTCGAATCTTTAATTTTCAATCCAAGCACGACTACCTTTCAAGAAATTCTGCGGCCATCGCGTTTCATGTGCGCTGACAATCGTGAAAGCGAAGGGAATAATAAAATCTTGCGTTACAATATATTCGTGTTACGATAACGGGAATGAAAAATAATAAAATATAAACAGAAAGTCGAACTGACAACCGTACATAAAATCCAGGTTCGGAAGGATTAAGGATTTTACCAAACGAAGTAGATACCTTAAGCACACTCTCGTCCTCGGAGTGACAGGAGGATTGCAGTGTGACGTCGGCGACGGTTCCCCCCTGGCTCACGATGAAGACCTTCATCCCTTGGGACACTTGCCGGCCCGTCAGCACGGCGGTGTTCATCACCTCCCAGTTCTGCAACGGCGAATAGAAACGAACTCGATTAAAGCGTCGCCTTTGTCGCGGCCCGGGCGTCGCGGGACTCGTTAAAACGCTCTAAAACTCCATTTAGGATGGTCGACGACCGATTTAGCGATGCGATATCGTTTCGAGGGATCACGCGGCTGCTTTTGTTTGCTCCCTAGGGCTCGCTGTCGGAAAAGTTTCGCGAAACGGCCGCAGACTCGCGCCAAGGACGGCCTTTAAAAGGACCTCTGCAGCCATGTTGGTGCATCAGACACTGGATAGCTTCGTATACGAACAGATCCACGGAACTTTTAGATGTGCAATTGAAAAAGAAATTATAAGCAATTCAGTTTTGCCAACGATAAGTTGCTTCCTCCCCCAAAATTAAATTGCTTATAATTTTTAAACTAAAACGGGGCATGCGATGGGCAAGCGATGGGCAAGCGATGGGCAAACGTTAGCAAAAAGAAAAGTTTCTCGAAAAATCGATGTTCGAGAGTGGGAAATTTATGGGCCTTTGACGAACAGATCTGGTGGAAAGTGAAGGTCCATGGTTTTAGAAAGTGGAAGGAAAATAGTGAGTTGGCAAGGCGATATAGCAAAAATATGATTAGAATTTCCATCATTACGAAATCGAGCGATCCATCATTGTGACGTACGTTCGTTAGCGGTATTCTGACCAAAAACTCGTTGATATTGCGAGCCGTTTCTGCCGCTTTTCAACCTGTTTTGAACTCGTACAAAAATGTTGGTGTTCAACGATGTGAACGGTGTCCTGTGAACAACGCTTTATCATTAGGGACATTTTTCTTTCGCCACTTTGCGGACAAAATATAGACGAAGGGAGAGTATGTTTTGATCGATGGACGCATCGGTCGAATGATCGATGTGTTCGACACTTTTCGGACGGCTTCGCGCGTTGTCATTGGTTTTGATGCAAGCGGCGAGAGGGAGTGCGAGAGTCCTTCATCTTCTTCATGTAATGGTCGTGCGTGCGAATGTGTTGTGTCAATCTTCTTATACCTTGCAATTTTATATCCCCAAATACATTTTATTTACTATTTCTCACATGTCTTATTTATTCGCCACCCTTGATCATCCCAAATCCTACATGGAGATTGCGACATTTTCTATATGTATACATGGGCCGTGCGCCCTCTTTCGTCGCATTTTGTACGTAACCTAATGAAGAAGAAGAAGCACAAGCACGTGTACCGTTTGCAAACTTCCTTCTATTGTCTGTATGGGGTTGAGGGAAACCGTAATAAATAGCACCAGATTCAAATCGACATCTTTCGCTCCGTTGTGGATAAAATAATCGACTCCTGGCATAGCTGGATCAGCCATCCCCCTGCGGGCGATTCCTGTATTGTTCCATATCATATACTCTATACCGTACAATAAACTTTTTTCTATAGAGTTTCCTATATCACAAATTATCATTCTATCAATAAAGTTTTCAACAAAAAATATTGCTCGTAACTGTTCCTTTTCTAGCATTCCTGAAATGATCAAAACATAATATTCTTCCTATATAACCCTCAAAGTGATTATACACAATGCCAATATTTATTTAAAAATTTATTAAAATTTCAAACGCTAAAGTCTGACAAACGTGAAAGCCGCAATTTCCTTTTGCACCAACTTAATACATTTACTAAAAATTCTGGTAAATGTATTACTAACATCCGTATACATCCGTTGCAGTTCACGTTTCGGTGATACATACAATACACACGTTCACGCGCGCGAGCACAGGCTGACCGTGGAAGTTATTCCATGCGCGCACTCGCCGGTTCGGTATAGTTTGTATGTGTACTTTGCAGCATCCAGACTGGGTGGAGAAAGGAACGGCGGTAGGACGAGGAACGAGCGAAGCGTTTGGTATACGAAGCCATTTCCAAGTTGGCTTCCGTACAGTCTGCCCTTTGCAAGGAACATCAAACGACTCGGATATTGCAGCGAGGGAATTTAAATCTCTGACCCCGAGAGCCGTTCTCTACCCATCCACTAACACCTGCCCGTCTCGTCGTGTGCATGTCGCGACGGCCACCTACAGGGCTGGCTTCACGTGGAAGCAAACGATGGACCATATTAGGGTGCTTCGACAAGATAAATGTAGAAAAAATTGTTTAAGTTAGAGAAGATGAAAAGGCTTAACGAAGTGTAACTTTTCAAACTGGCCTAATTTTCGTTGATGACGTAAGCGTTTGGCAGAATCAAACGAGGAGATCGAAGGATGTTTGTTTCCTTCTATCTCCTTGGGTTAGTATTAGTTTATCATAGATTCTAAGAATAATTCGTATGAAGGGCAGGAACACTCTTGTAGCGAGAGCCAATAGTAGGTATTACGTAGTATATTTATACAGGGTGTGTCAAGAATGTTGAAGGTTCTTGAAAAGGGTGGTGGTGTGTGTAGGGGGGGGGGAGGGGAGAGGGTGATTCGAAACAACTTTTTCCTTAGCGAAAATGTTGTCCGAGGATTCGTGAAGGAGATATTAACACTTTATCTACAATTTAGAAACAGTCTTTAATTCAAAAAAGAATTTTCTATAGTAACACATATGTCAATCTAGGCTGACAATAATTCCTTCATATTGTTACTAGGTACATTGAAAACCAAGCCTGTTTCCAGAAACTGAACATTCTAAGTAAACAACCATCAACGCAATAAATAAATTCGAATAGCTAAATACTGCAATTAAAAAGTCTGTAAATACGGTTCCGGTAAATAAAGTGTTAACAGAAAGCCCCGACCAATCAGAGCGCGAGTATGCCGGTGGAGCGCGTGCGGTAGCGTACGAGTGCGCGGCCGCCGAGCGCGTTGCCTATGCTACTGTGGCTGTCTAGCGCGTACCTATACTACTGCGGCTGTCTAGCGCGTAGCCTATGCTACTGCGGCTGTCTAAAGCGCTCCACAGACTGCGCTGACGTGACGTGGGCCAACGTCACATCAGGCTCCGTGGGTCCACGTAAGACATGAAGCGGAGTCAGATTGACGCCATTAAAAAATGAAGATACCAACCTCCGCAATTTTTATCAGAACTTTACGGAAACAACATCAAACGATTCCTGATGTTCTTGCGATGAGAATGATACCACACATGACACAATTTGGACAATAATTAACGAAATTATATGAAAAATCTGATTGTATAATTGAAAAGTTATTTCGTTAAAAATAGTTCGATTTACGCGATGTGAGATATCATTTTAATCGGGAGAACGCCAAGAATCCAATGCCATCACGTTCACGTGGATTCGATGAAGAATAAAGAATTCGATTTTATGAAAAATTGATGAGTCGATGGCCCGTTCGATCCCAGACCCTTGAGCGACCTCAGGTAGGCGCTCGGCCGAGAACAAAAGACGGGCAGTCCATCGTAAAATGATGAACTGCTGTACATAATATGTTTATATTTTTCATCAGATTGTCGGGAAAATAATATCAATGGATTCCTTATGTTTTTCCGATAAAAATGATATCAAACATCACATAATTCGGATATTTTTTACCCGAAGAAGCAGCGAATACGTCAGTCTGTACTACAAACATCACTCATCAAATCGCTAACACCTTTTTTTGTCAAACGGACAATAATATAAGAAATAATCTTACCTCATAGGAAACTGATTGAGCAATAAGATGCTTTGATCATAATAAAGAATAATTTGAATTAGGAGCTCAACCACTTTGTATAAAAAGGGTTAGCTTCTAAACATATAATTATCAATATGAATAATATTCTAAATTTTAATGTATATAAATTTACAGAAAGAAGAATCACTAATCAAATCAATTTCGTTAAAATTAAAATAAATATTGGTATAAATAAGTAAATAATTATATAAATTAATTTTTTCCATACAAAAAATTCCTTATTAAATTCCTTCAATAATTTTACAAGATCTGGTAATAATGCAGTTAAATATAAATTATTACATACTTTTCACTGCATTTTTTCGTACTTTTAAGCAATTATAGTTAGAGCTGCTCACATAAATTAACGGTCATATAAATTCATATAAATTAACTAGAAATTCTTTTAATACTCTTTAGTGCAGTTTTAATGTTTTTGAAATTAGTTTATCTCTTAAAAATGGAAAACAGAATTCTAGAAAACACCCGGTCTCCTGACGCCTTCCAACGCTCACGGAAAATCTAGTAGGTTTGATATGCTCCTGACGCGTCAGAGCGCATATTTCTTCAGATAGCATCAGCCCACATCACGTCAGGGTAATGTGAACGTCTTCACGTAAAACCCTATGTTAGAATTTCATACCACGCGTCTTACGACGTGTGGACCCACGGCTCGTCAGAGCAGTCTGTGGGACGCTTAACGCGTAGCCTATCAAATATAAAAATATACTTTTAAAAATTCACACAATAATAATGGTGCCCCCTAATAAATAAAACAAATTAAAGGTACGCTTGTTCATGAAATTTCACAATCCGGATCCGTAGTTAACTGGGAAAGATTCTTGATTATTCCACCGTTGCAGAAGAAAAGGAATTCGCTATATCGAAGACATTTTGTATGCAAAACGATTGCGCCATTCATTGAAATAGCTGAGCCTCGATGAGGCAGCTGAGTCTATGTCTATAGCATAAGAAAGAGGTATTCATAGCTGCGCTGCTGTTGATCTTCGAGTCCTAGATCTTCTCCGCTATGATATCGCCAAAACCAGTCCCGCTTGCGCCTACATAGAGCAAACCCTCCCACACCTCATCCATCCTGATTATTTTCGTCGTTGGTGGAGCAACCTAAATTTTCTTTTCCATCTCGAATAGTTTCGTACAGCAATGATTGCAACGTGTACTTGAACTTTTTAAAATCGTGATAAACAAACCATGTGGTTCACTCTGTTCAAGATGCTCTCGATCGCAGTTAGTCGTAACCTTGTACTTGGCTCGTTTACCACTTTTTTAATTGCCTAATTGTAAATTACATCTATAAGTATAAATTTAGGAATAGAAAATGAGCAATATATTTATAAAAATATGTTAT